AATTTCTCACTACGGGTATGAATCACTTCTTGTTAAAATATTAATCTTGTTTTTGAGAGAAATGTTAGTTGAAAAAAAAAGTATGTGTGCAGATATGGTACATTACAAATCGATACATTTTATAATATTATTATTATTATTATTATTATACGATTGGTTGTGTTTCTATTGAGTGTTATATAATCATGGTAATGTTATATTATATTGTATATCTAGTTAAAAGAAGAAAAAATATGTATCAATAATGTGTGTTGTAAATGAATATTTTCCCGACATGTTAAATAAATAGTATACGAACATATTATTATACTATACAATAATATAATTACTATAATGTAGCAAGTTATTATTAATCATAATTTTTAAATATAATATATAATAATATCCCGTAGAAATAGTACCTATTGTTTTTGTAAGAATCAATCATAATCAAATTGTTAATCCTCGGAAATAAAAAAAAAAAAATTCGTGTACAAAATAACATTGTGATAATTTGATGTTTAATTGTTTTCATCAATACAACGATAATACTGTTACCATCATTTTTTAGTTACGATTTACATCTTAAAAACACACACATAGGCGTGGAATTTAAATCGAATATATATATATATATATAAAATTAGCTCCCTCGCTACGTTAGGAATCTAAATAAAACTTTGTTTCTGTACATTAGTTTAGACACCTTATATCCCCGTTGTATCCGCTGTCCGTCCGTCCATAGTTACCAATACATAGTTGTGATTGTTGATTTTCGTCGACGCTTAGTTACTCGCAAGTTTATTTAATTAGGTTTATAATGCATATCATAGGCATATAAAAGTTATCTAATTATTTTTACGTTGTATAATCTGGAATTATATAGTTTATTATATAATACACGTTTAGAAACCGGGAATTTAGTAAGTCCGTAGAGTAGGCTTTCCTAACTTGTTTTTTTAACATTTATTTTTTTATATATATAGGTACTTATACAAATTGCAATTATGGTTACAATAAGCATAAGACTGCATAAGCATACAATATGAGCATTAGTATTTATAATTACACGGAACGTTTGTGGTGAGTATAGTTACCCAGCATAATAACACTAAAGAAATAACAAAGTTATTGTCTATCTTTTTTTTTTGATAACTAATTAAATTAACAGTTATCAAAAAAATAATGTGGAAATTTTAACTTATTAATTTTTCAACTACTTAATCACTACCCAGCTTTGGATTTAAGTTATGGGTCGATGCCGCGAAATTAGATTGGTAATCGCTCGGTACCTAATATATTTATTTATTTTTTTTTTATGACGTTCGTACGCTTTACTGATGACGCAGTTAAATTTTAATAAAGTAAACAAACAATATTATAATAACGATTGTTTCTTCGGTAAGCAATTCGGCGATTTAAATATAGACACCGATACATACCTACTATAATATGTAAAATCGCATTCTGGTAGTTTTATTTATTAAGCTTCTGCAAATTTGTTTAAATAATTCTCTTTTCAGGGAAAGTCATTATCCGAGAGAATTTCCTCTGAATACGTTCAATAATAACTTGTATACGGGTTGTACTTTCCTACACATATTACTTTACCAAAATGTGTGGTTTTGGATAAAGTCCAAAACCACGGGAGCCGGACAATATCTTGAAGCCGAATTTTCAAATTTTGGACTGGCATACCGTTTAGCGATTTCGTAATGTTATATACCGGTGACCGTTCAAATTTGGGCGGTAACTGTAAATGTCTAAGTTACAAAAATGAATAAATTAGTAGATTAATTAGTAGTTAAGTTAATTTTTTTCCATTGGTAAATGGAAATAATATGTATAACTGTAACTTATAACCTATTGTTACTATTTCAGTTGATAAATAAGCGAATTGTATTGCTCGTAAATCACTCATACGAATAAATGTCATTTTCAACTTCAGCATGACAACGAATATAGATCATCGAAGAGGAATAGTAGAAATAGCAAGGGATCTACGGATTTATGGTCCGTTTCGATTAGCCTAAGTCAAAGTCATTTTTAAATTGCAATCAATTGACTTCGAACAAACCATCAATCTTTCTGGACGTTGAATCATTTTTCGAAATATATAATGCCTTCTAGGTTTTTCAATTTTGAAATCCTTAATAATAGCCATATAGATTTGTCTTTGTGATCGAATCCAATAGTAATTAACCTAAACTGATGTACTTTGAAAATTACTGAATTACAACTCTAAACCTACCAGGTGAATGCATTTTCTCAATCTAAGTAGAATTTGAATGTACAATACTTAAAGAAAAAAGAAAGGATCGTGTCGATAAAACAGAAAAATTAACTTTTAAATCTTTGCGTGAAACTCGTTCCATCTTTCATGATTATATTATACACCGGATAATAATATTATTGCTACGATTTCTTATGGGAGATTTGTTTCTTTTGCAATATGTACGTTGATTGTGTAGTAATGATGAGTAATTTCACCGTTGATTAAATTATTATTATTTTTTTTTTTTATTAGACTTAATTGTGTACCCTACCCATATTGAGTACTTTCCGGTATAGATGAGGAACGTAAAATACGATAATATTTTGTAAACCTGAACTGTATTTATTTACGCATTGACCTATTTAGGTAGTTCGTATAATACTATTTATATATCAGTTCAGTAAGTACCTATACAACCATATTGTAATATGTTCATACATTTAATAAATAATTAGTTTGAATATTTTAACGTACGTTTAGTATTACTTACCTAATTCGTGATAGACATGTGTACCTGTTACATGTGTAACGTTTCTGTTTATTTATTAATAATAATTACTTCTAAATATTATGTTACATTAGTGTTAAGATAACAACCAAAAAAAAGGTCAAACAACTTTAATTAAATAATACTAATAATAATAGTAATGGTATACTATTGTATTATACACGATGTAAATTATTGTTTACATGTTATTGTGTTGTATTAAACTCTTATTTTCTCGATTGATGAAAATCATCCAAATAGTGTATTAATAATTTGCGTATGGTCTTCATAATTACCTATACAGGGTGTTTCACGAAGATATTTTGATCGTTATGTTATCTTAGAAAATATTAACATTTTTCGGAATTTTTTTTATTTGAGAATTTGTGTTACTCTAAAAAGTTACATTACCATTATATACATTTATATTTGGTAACTGTGAAGTTGTTGTTAAAAAAAGTTACAAAAAAGTGTTCAAAAAGATACGGACATAGATAGGTACTTAGTAAGATGGGTGGACCGCTTTTTTAAATGAGAAGTTGAGAAGGTTGAATATAAAGGGGAATTTAATGTACATTTGTACGCAACGATTAATCTTTACTAACGAAAAAGATTCTGAGCCGATTTCGGTTATACATGTTTTGAAAGGCCATAATATTTACGATTTTAAAATAATACATTTTGTAAATCTTCTCGTTATTCCTACATTTTTTCCAAGTTTTACCAAATTTATTATGAAAACAAACAGCTGGGAAAATCAAAAAAATTACTGGTAGAAAAGTTATTCACAAATATACATAATAAATACGAAAATAAATATCATTGTAAAATCAATACATTTCTCACTCCGTTCAGAATCTAAAAATAACTACAAAAAGGTAAAACAGTGAAAATTTTAAGTAATTATGTTTAAATGCCGCTGCCATACAAATGATATTTCACTAATCTCCATCTACCCAAAATTAAAAATTAAATCACTCGTCACCATAATGTATTTAAACTAATACTCTGTCTATTCAATGCATTTTTAATATTTGCCATTTTAAAATCAACAGTGGGTGAAAAAAAAAATAATGGTATATGTAACATTTTAAAGCTACTTGTTTCTTAAATTGTCCAAAAATAGAGTCAATACTCTCTAAAACATCACAATGATTATTACTTCGTGAAACACCCTGTATAATATTATGGTTACTTAATTCTAATCGTTATTACTATAAATGTACCTACGTAGTAATAATATTAACCCCAAAAACAATAAATTTGCATCAAGGACGGTGTAGTCGAGTTCATGGGCATGTTATTATTATTCAGAGGCCACTAAAAGTTTTCAATCCGTACAGTAAAGACTAATAAACGTCGTAAAAAACCGTTGTACTTCAGCGGTAACAATTACGTGTTTTTTTTTCAATTTAATATATATATATATATATATATATATATATATTTATAACAAAAATAACAGTTTACATTTGAGTAATTTCCTATTACAACATGAACAACAGGTAAAAATATTATTGCAATATAATAATAATTATATTATTAGAATATTCACGGACTGAAATCATTTCAGTTTTTCCTTTTATGCATTTTGTGGGTGACAAAGTGATAAATAAATTACAAATGTTGTCAAAACTGGGAAAAATAATTATATAACTACGAGTTTACCGCCTTAATATTTTTATTGATACGGAGTAGTGAATTATAATTTGTGCGAAGCGCGGCGCGCGTTGTTTGAATAGTGTTCCATTACATTCTTCCTATCCAAATTTAAAAGTGGAATATCTCGTGAACGAGTGACCATATTAACGAGTGACCGAACCACCATACAATTTCTCGTGAACCGCCGGTGATCCGTGGACTATAATTTATGAATCTATGGTTTAACCGGAAGAATGGCTAGTGTTCGTTGTAAAAGAGAGTATAAGAACGTATGGATAAATGTGGAAATACTAATGGTTATTGGGAGGAAAATAATAAGATAAATAGTATATTGGCTGACCAAAGGTTGTAAGAATATATAAAGATATGCATGGGATAAAGGTGAAGATGAACAAAAAAGTTGGCGTTGGAGAAGTCATAGACTTACAGGGGTTCAAACTGAAATATTGAAATTCTCTGTACATTGGAATTATCCAATAGCTATTGGGTATACATAAGATCTACGTCATAATTTATTAAACCATTAACGAAGCAATGCAATAATTTCTTATCGCTATTTCTAGGTAGACTTTTTTTAATATAAAACCGATCTCACGAGGTGTTTCATTCAATTGATTTCGTTTAAGTGTACTGCATGTTCTTTCATTATTATTAACTTTCAGTTTGTATTTGTTTCGAGGTTTGAAAATATTATTAGGTAAACTATTTTAATACTTTATACAGATATAACTACCTACACACGCAAAAATGTCACGAATTATATTTTATTTGTATTCTCTGTTTTTCTGTGTTCAATGAAATATTTATATCCGTCGTGCAAAAAGTGACCATAAGTAATAGAAATATTTTAATTGAAAAAATATATTCGATATTTTTTTAAATTAAGAATTACATGTTAAATTGGTTCCTAAATTATTAATGCTATCATTTTTGGACATTTTTTTCGTATAGGGGTGAAATAAGGCATTAAACGTGTTTTTATATTAAGTCACATTTTGCAAGACGACGATGAATTATAACTAATTATAATCTGTGCACCTACACATTTTTTAGAATATGTCGGATTATCAATTATATTCGGTTACTGATGGTCCCGTATCGTTGATCAGTCCGATGGATTGTTCGATTCCAGAATATTTACCCCTCTCTGAATCATTGGCACCGCCTGAAGTACACAATAAAATCATCACCGCCGTCCCGTTCGCAATAGATTATACACGTTTTATCAATGAGTTTTCGTCAAAACGCCAACCGTCTCAACTACGAGAAATAAGTAACTATATGATATTTTATGATCATATAATAATAATTTTTTTTTTTTGTTTTTGTTAAATAAAACCAAAATTTTTTTATTCTGTATAATTGTATTATATCTTCAGCTAGGTTGGTGGAAAAACTACCTCCCCATTGTATAAAATTCGGTGTAGGAATACCAAACGTACTGACATTTCCGTTCGAAAAGATCAGCGTGGAACTAATTGGTGGCAAAAATATAGAAATTCAAGGTCAAGAATTGTCAGACGCCTTACAGTACATGCCATCGATAGGGTAATTGTTTTATTACGTATAAATATTCGAATCAGTAGCGCAACCAGAGTAAGTCCTCAGGACTGAAATTCTCTTCTGTCAGACCGTACATAATAAAAATTGTTAATTTAGTCTGGAATTTAAGGGGGAGGGGGTTATCAACTATCGATTTTGTGTTAATATAAGTATTTTTTTGAACCAGTCTTCTTTAAACAAATTCTGATTGCGCCACTGAACCAAATTTATATTCAGTTCGTAAGTAAAACTGCCATTATTTTTTTTGAACGTTTTTCAATAACTATATGATTTAAGGTGTACACATTTATATGTCAATGCATATTTCATATTTTATATAAATTTTTATTAAAAATAATTTTTAAGAACTATGATACTTCGAAATAATTTACAAAAATAATTTTTTTTTTCGTATTTTTGCATGTTTAATCGTATTTCTTTACTCCCTATTTATTGCATATTTAAATGAAAATAATACGCCACCACGAAACATTTCTTAGTTATCGCCGAAGTGACAACTTTTTTACTGTGCATATATTTTTATCATATTTACTAATATTATTTGAAAAAAATTAACATTAATTTTTATTATATATGAATCCGTGACTAAACCTAACCTAACCGTGTTATGAAGCAATCTTCTTGGTTTTTATTTTTTTCACTTATCTGAATCACTTAAATAATATTATAATGAACAATCGAAAATAATAAATTCTCAACTAAACTAGCTATAAGGGATATAAATTAAAATAATATATTTTACAATAATTTCGTTGTCATTTAATATAATAGTCGTATTTATGTACAGACATATCGATATCATTTTACAACAAAAGTTTAAATCGTCTAACGAGACCGTTGAAAACTGTTTAAATATTCGTGACAATTAAACTCGTTATAAATAAATTGGTGAATATTTATTTAAGTTTGATTATCAATGTACTATAATATCAGTATACTAATATTATATAGGTATCATAATGCACCTGTGCAATTTATTATGTTAATTTACTTACTATACCTATTATTATTATGATCATACGATAATCATATAACAAATACAATTTCGTATCACATAACATTAACCCGTACGTTTTAACTAGCGTTTAACTAATATTGGTTGAGAAAAAGTAATATGGCCGCATGTACGCACGTTTCGATATTTTTTGTACAATGAACTTTTTTCAAACCGTATTGTAGGTGTTATAATACCATTGCTCAATAGACGGATTAAATAATATTTTAAATATATATAGCTTAGTTAATTTGATTATTATAATTCATAAAACAATTTATTTAGATAAGATAAAATACGTTTACTACAAATAATTTAATGTTTCTGAATAAAGACTACCCATGTATTTAATACGTCATGCATGAGACATATGCCTATTAAGCGTGGCGCTTAATGTAATTTATCTATTAATTTTATCTTTAGTGTTTGTGTTTGTTTTTGTATACAACTAATAAACAAAAAAATAGAACGTTAAAATTACAATTTGTTTTTTTTTAACAAACTATAGTATTGAACGGCAAAAATATCGTAAAAATATAGAAAATATTATACTCAAAAAAAAGGTTATATAAACATGTGGCCTAAAATTCCGTAGGTAATTAAATTTTAAAACCTCGTATTAATTAATTATAAGTACTATGTACCCATCTAAATTATAAGTAAAATATCAATTTTAAAATGTATGAAATCTGTTAGTGTTTATAGTGGGAAAAATTAAATTATAATTAAATTTAACAATATGTTTTCTAGCATAGTAATAGTGTTAAGCTCAGTACGGTTATTATATTACAAATAAAATTTAAATGACTAGACAAATAAAGTTTTAAATAACTCGTTTGATTTACCTAAATATGCGTATTGTAATGAGGTTAGGTGTATAGAAAATACAAAACAACTCATAAAAAAAAGATAAAATTAATTTTTTTTCTATAATACCAAAAATATATTATAACGTTTGATTAAAATACATAAAAAAATTACAATTGAACTATTTGCGAAAATAAAGATTATTTTATTTAAAAACTGAATAAATCGAGTACTTTTAATAGTCAGAATATACCGTTTCGAAAGGTATGGGCCTCTGATAAAGATATTGCAAGAAATTCAAGACTGGTTCCACGGACCTCAAGATTGGAAAAACCGATCTATCATGATGACAACTGGCGGACAAGAAGGATTATCTAAAGCGGTGAACATGTGCATGAATTGTGGTGATCCAGTGCTTATGCCCGATCCTGTATATACCGGAGCCATTGATTTGGTAAGTTCGATTGCATTTTTAAACATTATTATCAATTGCTACTCTCGTCATGATCGCTGTTGAATAATAATCGAATGGTCTTTAATAAATAATGTAAATACGTTTGTATAGTTCAGACCATATGACGCAGATATCATACCGATAAAACAAGATGCTTACGGCGTAGTTGTGGAAGAAATTGAAAGAGTATTGATAGAGAGAAAGAAGAACATGCAACCTATACCAAAGGTATATTTTACTAGATTACTAGCTATCTCGTGCCCGGCGTTACCCGTGCCAAATTAGTATTATTATTATATTACCCAAATTCATTTTTGGTTTAGGCCGTATTAGAATTAAATGAAAACAAATAGGTGGAAAGTGGGTAGTCCACCTTTGATGGACTAAATGTGTTCTATTGGAAAATTTAAATAGTGTAAATAATAATAATAATAATAATAATAATAGTTTTCTTTTCCGTGGCAACCCTTGAATAAACGAAAATCCTTTATAAATAAAACAAAGTCGAGTTAGTTACACCATTTATAACTCAAGAACAACTGTACCGATTTTGTTGATCACATGATATTTTCCGACTAATATCTAATAATAATTAATCACAGTTTTTTTTCATTCCTGTTACCGGGGTAAAACATATCAACAAAAAAAATTATATTTATTATATTATAAGCTGAACTATTTGGTGTTGCTCGTGTATATATATATATATATATAGTGAGTGGAGATAGGAGGGTGAAAAATGCTTTACGACTTATTCTCAGACCTATCAAATATACACAAAAAAATTAATTTAAATCGGCCAAGCCGTTTCGAAAGAGTCCAATATCAAACACTGTAACCAGAGAATTTTATATATAAGATAATAATATGACTGGTTGGTTATTTTAATTATAAAGCATAATCAATATTCGAACAGATTATTTATTTGAACCCGACCGCGTCGAATCCCGCCGGCACTACATTGCCCACGCACAGAAAACGAGAAATTTACCGGTTAGCTTGTGAATATGATATGCTCATTCTAGAGGACGACCCATACTACTACCTGCATTTCGGAAAAGTATAAAATTGCACATTTTCTTCATATATTATGAATTGTATATAAATATTGGCCACCTATATTATTAAATAAAATACGATTATTACAGGAGAACCCGGTCAGTATTTTGTCGATGGATACAGAGGGCCGTGTGCTTAGATTCGATTCGTTTTCGAAAATCATGAGCTCCGGTTTGCGCGCAGGCTTCGTGACCGGGCCAACGCGGTTGTTGCGGCAAATGGAGCTACACATGCAGACGTCGTCGATGCATACGTCTTCGTTATCCCAGGTACTCTTGTACAAGCTTCTGTTCAGTTGGGGCAAAAATGGTTTGACGTCTCATTTTATGCACGTCAAACAGTTTTACAAAGAAAAACGGGATCACATGATGCACGCAGTCGCGAATCAACTGACCGGTAAGTGCATATACATCAAACCAGATTCCCACACCGTCTGAAATACAATCGTATTACAATGTTTCCCAACGGGAGGTGGTGGGGGAATTCACCCCTAGGGAGGAATTCAAGTACTACTTGGTGGTTAATATAACGATACTGAAATTTTAAAATTTCCAAATTGACCATATCTAAAATTAAAAACGATAAATTCATATTTCTAATAGATAGGGGGAGAATGAGATTTTTAAAAATCTACGTAGAGTAGAAAAAAAGTTAAGAATCACATTTTATATTGTTTTAACGTCTATCAAATATACAGGGTTGGCCGAATGGAGCGCACCCACCGGTGGCATGTTCCTCTGGTTGAAAATCAAAGGACTGAACGATACTAGAAGGCTGGTCACTACTAGATGCCTAGATAAACTAGTGATTTTGGCACCGGGCTACGCATTGGCAGTTGATACCATGAAACCGAGTCCGTACATTCGTGTTTCGTATTCCATTGCATCACCAGAAGAAGTAAAGCTGGTACGTATTTTATAACCTTTTTCATACATTTAATGAATTAAAAATTTTGTTCATTTGTACCAAACTACAAAATAAATTATAATTATGTTTTTTGGTCAAAAATGATTGAAAATTTTTTTTTGGCCCAAATAATTTGTACCCACAATAATCGGAAAATAGTATAGGTGCACAAAATACAGTTTTGAGCCTTCTTTAACCTAATATTTTTGCTCTTCACATGCTCTTCCTATCCATCATTGTTTCTTACAAATGTTTTTATATCCCCCTAAATTTTTCTTTGATCTTTCAATCTCTGTCTCTATTTCTATCATTATAGATAAATTTTCTCATTTATCTTCTTGGCTATCTGATCGTCTCGACAATCGTCATCTTTATTCTTTCTATCTTCACTATCAATAATATTATAGTATTTTTATTATAATTGTTTATAGGTATATTTTAATGAAATGTATATTTTATTTTTACATTTAAGAACAAATCTCATGATATTATATTTATTTTGATTCTAGGGAATATCACTATTGGCGGAAGCTATACGAGAAGAACTACAATTGTGATAACATTGTTTTTATTATACCTGATAGCAATATTTTATCATAGTTATTGTAATAATGTTAATTTTTACTTTTTTTACTATTTCTAATATTTAATAATTTAATAATGTAATTTGTGTAATGTATATCGACGAAAATAGATCGCTTTGTTTATCTTAATACTATTTATCGGTGATTTATAATCTGGAAAAAGACACGATCGCTTATTCAAAATTCCCCTGAATAACTCCTTGCAAAATTATTTTAAAATTAAATTAATTTGTTAAAATAATTATATTTTTTCGAGGCATTTTTAACACGTTTCAGCTTAGGTGCAATAGACAATAATTATAGAGTATTTCGTTAATTTAAAAATCGTTTTACTTACATATATGTATATATACATTATTATTGTGATTATTTATTATACTAGCTGTCCCAGCTAGCATTCTCCGTGCTAAAAGAAATATTAGATAAATTATTTTATATGCTATTATCCGCACAGCACAATGATTTCACTACAGTAATTAATAAATTATTTTTTTCATCCGTGTTACTATGGTAACCCATAAAATTAACAAAACTGATAAGATTATATAAAAAATACCTAAAAACCGAATTTAGGGAATGGTATTCAATAGGAAGTGGATTTTAATAGCTATAGATTTTTTCTGTACAACATGTAATATTTTATAAAAAAGACCGCATAAATCCATTTTCGAGAATGGGGATATTGTCTTGTTCATCAAATTATTATTTTGATCGTCGTTTGTTATAAAGCTGTCAGTACAGCTCTCAGCTTTACTGAGTAGATATTTTTTCTTAAACACTATTGTCATAAGTACTATACGTTGTTCCAGGATCTAAAATACATCTGATTTCAGTGGAATTTTTTATTTAATTAGTAGCATTGAAAGATGCCCATAGTATAAAATTAACCTGTGAGGGGTGTAGCCCTTTATATATAATATAACTTACATATTTATATTATTTATGACAAATTTGGACTAAATCTTATCAACACAAAATAAATATAAGTAAAAGTTCATGTATTCAGTTGTAATCCGAAATGATTGGCAAATTTACTTTTACTTGTAAATAATCATTAATTATAGAAAGTAGAACGACCAAAAGTTTTTAATACATTATGAAATTAAACTAACAAGATTTATGATATTTGTTTAAAATTGATTATGAGTAAGTTGTTAAGAATTTAAATTGACATATTATATCAAATTAAATATATTTATCATTTAATTTATTATGTGTTGAAATTTTAAAATAATTTAATTTCTACAATTGAAACTTAATATTCATGTTATAAAACTTGGTACGCACGTTTGGAATTCAGGGCATACATTTTAATTTTCAGGAGACACACTGTTTTAGGTCCTACATTGTTCATTTTATTGTTCGTTATATCCGTTTATAACTATAGCAGCATGTCTATGTATCGTGAGATTAATTAATTTAATTTCTATAACTATTACGTCATAGTTAGTAGGTAATTAGTTATTAATTATTATTATTTTTTTATATTTTATTCGTCGACTGGTTTGGCATTAACTTTTATATTAATTTTTTTTTAATCAAACAAAGATATTACATTTTTATTAATAATAATAATTATAATAACTTTAAACATTTTGTCACCACTTATTTTTTATTTCCTTTACGTCGATCCACCTATTTTCCAATTCCGGTATCTATTTAGTGGCCATCAGGCTGTCATCTTTGAAATCTTCGTTTTCATCGACTTCCCTCCTCATTTACTCTGCCTATTTCCTTTTAAGTTAAGTATTATGTTTTAAGTATAGTAAGTGCTATATTAATAAGACCTCCATTGTTTGTATAATTTATAAATTTAAATCGATTTTTGCAATCATTAAGCGTGACAAAATATGCACGAAAATTTAATAAAACAACCTGAATATAACAAAAAATTCAAAATTTAAAATTTCACTTTTAAAATATCTGTTATGGATTAAATTATTTGTACTTCGAATACGTTGACCTAGAATAGCGAAACAAAATTTAAAATGCTCCTCGTTGAAATTCAGGCACTACATAATGAATACAATAATAATTTAATATCAATGCGGTCTATAACAACTACACAAACGACATACCTAATAATATATACCTATATATTATTAATCAATTAATTTTAAAAGAAGATACTGACATACATGGGTGGTCCACTGTTATAGGTGAGAATTTGGGAAGGTATAGATGGGAAATGTAATGTACATCTGTACGCAACGATTAACCATTGCTAACAATATAATACGATTCTTAGCGGAGTTCGGTTAATAGTGTTGCTCTATCAACAATATATAAATATATATATATTATTATGGTAAAATAATTACATATACATTATATATTATCTTTAATAATATTTGTTTAATATTGTACCTATTTCCCCGTGTTTCCTACGTTATTTCCCGGTTTTCCTCATTTTTATCAAAAAAACTGGGAAAATCAAAAGATTACCTCCCAAAAGTACCACCCCAGACAGATTTTCTTTTAGAAAAATTATTATAATTGAAAATTGAAGCATTTTGCTGATAAAAAATTTGTTCACAGATAAAAATAAAAAATTGGTTGAAAAAACAATATATTCCTCGCTCAGCACAAAATCTAAAATAAACTAACAAGAAAAAAAGTAGTTTACATTATTAAATAAATTTGCTTCATCGCTTATCGATTATGATTGTTTAATGAAGGTCGACAAGTTAAACATGTGTGTAGATCGATAACATATTTCCATTCGCGAACCGTAGATTACATACAAGCATACAAGTCGTACCGTGCAACATAACTACAATTAATAAATCAATAAAATACTTTATCATTTAAGTTAATAGGTAAAATATTCAAATTGATAAGTAAAAACTCTTTTATTCTTATGGTTAATTGTAATAAACAGTAATCCATTTAAATCATACATTCTACAATCATATCTAGTCATTATTTTTAAAATGTACCAATGATCGGAAATTTAACAGACAAACAAAATGTAAATTAATTTCAGTTGAACCCGTAATACAATTTTATTAGCTCTCCGCAACATAATCGATGTTTAAGAACAAGCCGGAACAATTTTAATTCAGTTTAAAAACACTAATTAACTACAAATGTGATTTACCAATTTATTTGTGATGCGTGTACATTTAAAACAAAATTATATTCGAATTTGTCAGATCGGTTATAGACACGATTATAAGACCGTATCAGTAAAATATTCGGTATTAAATTCATTTGTCGATTAAATAGTTTAATTTTTCAGAGATGCCAATATAATATATTTTGTCAATATTATTATTTGTATTAATGTGAAAATTCGTTTGCAGAATATGATACAAAATAATAAAACGTATCCGGTTCCCGAGGGAAACGAGTATGCGGGTAATTCTCCAATTAATTCTACGATTCCAGAGCAGTACAATAATATCCCCGAACCATCATCGCCGGGTACAATTAATAATCAAAACTCTACAGTCCCGTTGGACTATACACGTTTCATTAACGAAATTTCGTCAAAACGTCGGCCGTCTCAGTTACGAGAAATATGTACGTAAATGTAAAATTATAAATGTAACATGTAATAATTTTATATGCAAATAAAATAATAAAATGTAATTTAGGTATACAGTTTCCATTGTCACGTCACGTCACGTCGTTAATAACTTTATTTATAAAGTTGTAAATAGAAATTATTTCTATAAAAACGAAATTTATAAAAAAAAAACCTAAAATTTTCCATTTATATCAGATATTTTTCTTACTCTAATTTTAGACAATTTGGTGCAAAATCTACCTTCTCATTCGATAAAACTCGGTGTAGGAGTGCCAAATGTAGAAACGTTTCCGTTTCAAAATATTAGCGTGAAACTAACAACCGGTGAAAACATTCAAATCCAAGGCGACGAACTATCCGAAGCATTACAGTATTTACCATCAAAAGGGTAATATTATTATAGTTCCGCTAAATAAATTAACTTGGTAATAATTTAGAAAATCTCTGTGAATAATTTTAAAAGATACAAGCCTTTACTGAATGTGTTGGAAGAAATACAAGATTGTTTTCATGGTTCTCAAAATTGGCAAAACAGAACAATCATGATAACCTCGGGTGGACAAGAAGGGTTGTCTTTAGCGGTGGACATGTGCTTGAATCGTGGCGACCCAATCATTCTGCCTGATCCGATATATACTGGTGCAATCGATTTGGTAAGACGAATTTAATATACACTTATTTAAAAAGGTATTCATAGAAAATAATACTAAAATAAAAAAAAAAAAAAAGACCGAACTTACATAATCAAATAATTTTTGTCAAAATTTAATATTAAAATTCCTTTATAAAAAAAAAATACTTTATAAACCACAATTTTTTTTTTTTTACCACAAATTACGACATTTAAAGAACATCCTTTTGAATTTTCAAGTATTCCTGTTTATTCAAACAATTTTATCCATGGAGTACCTGCTGAATAAAAATTACGTACAAAACTCTCAAAATTAAAATGTCTTTAACTAGCTCAAAAATGGATCAAATGTTTTGATAATTTTACCACGTCTAGAAAAAGCAAATATTAGTTTTCTGTAAAATTTTTAATTTTGTATGAATATATTAAACTGAATTACATAAAAAAACAAAATTGAAAATAATAAAAGTTTTATTTTAGTACATTTTCCCGTACTTTCTGAATTTTTTTCCGGTTTTACCCAATTATTAAAAAACCCACAATAAAAATCAAAAAACAAATTTCTTGTTCGTAAACTTGATTAAAAATTGAACACAAAAGATCACTTGATGTTTTTTAATTAGAGCAATATTTATAGTAGAAAACGTTGGTTCTGAAAGTGTAAAATAATAAATTTTTTGTATCGTAATTTGGAAAAAATCGTATATTTCGTCTTTTTTGGTTATAGTTAACATAAGTGGAAAATATTAAAATAATGAACCCGGGACGCTACGTAATGTAAATATTAATCAATTTTAATTTTTTGGTTTTTCCCAATTATTAGAAAAACCACTTTTAATATCGAAAGACGACTTACTCTGTCAATGGCGAAATATTATAGGGAACAAAATCGATATTTAATTATTTTTGGATTGGAGTAATATTTCTGGTAGAATTCCTCGTGTTATACTGTAACACGTATATTATTACGTATTACTGTATTAACAAAAAAAACAGTGAAAACGGTAACGTCGTGGTGCACTATAAATATTTACCGTTCTACCAAGAATTTTCTTTCGGTTTTTCCCAATTATTTCATAAACCCCTTGAAAAATCAAAACATGACCTCCTCAATGTACAGACGAGAGAGAAAATCATCTTTCAGAAAAATTGCTACAGTCCATACTTCGGAACAAGTTTTCTGGTAGAAAAGTTGTTCACTGACTGAGAAAAAATTTTAAAAAAACACACACATGGTTAAATCAATAGATCCCTCGCTAAGCTCCGAATCTCAAATACGTCGTTTATAGTTCATACCATACGACCCGGACATCATATCGATAAAACAAGACTCATGTGGCGTAATTGTGGAAGAAATTGAAAAGCAATTGACGGAAAGAAAAAAAAACAAGCAGCCTATGCCAAAGGTAATATCGTAAAACATTTCGTATTTTAATTGTATTTTATATGTACATAAATAGCGTTTAATGTCTAAATATCTAAAACTAGCGTTAATACCATTTCAATAGTTGATTTATTTAAACCCGACCGCATCAAATCCCGCCGGTACTACATTGCCGACACACAGGAAACGGGAAATTTATCGGTTGGCTTGTGAACACAATATGCTCATTCTCGAAGATGACCCATACTATTATTTACATTTCGAAAAAGTAATTTTCCAATATACAGTTTTTGTCCGTTATATTTGTCTCTGTAACAGTGTCTATTTAATCTATACATAATATATTATAAAATGTGCGATTTTAGGAGGACCCGGTTAGTTTTTTGTCAATGGATACAGAGGATCGTGTGCTCAGGAGCGATTCGTTTTCAAAAATCATGAGCTCTGGTATACGTGTGGGCTTTATGACAGGACCAACAGCGTTACTGCGTAGAATGGAGCTGCAGGTGCAGACGTCAACGATACACACGTCGTCGGTAATGCAGGTTATGATCTACAAACTTCTGTCGCAATGGGGTAAAGACGGTCTGACGTCTCACTTTATGCACGTGAGAAAGTTCTACAAGCAAAAACGGGATCACATGATGATCGCGGTTAAAAACCATTTAGGCGGTAAGCGGAAACGGTGAATTAAAAATTAATTTTTTCAATTCCGTTGATCGCTCTAAACGAAAACATATTATTACCTACCTATTTACCTACTTAATAAAATTCACGGGTCTGGTAAATCATATAGGGCTGGCCGAATGGAGTGAACCGACCGGCGGCATGTTTCTTTGGTTGAAAATTATCGGATTAGATGATACCAAGCGTTTGGTCACTTCCAGATGTCTGGATAAACTAGTGATTTTAGCACCAGGCTACGCACTATCAGTTGATCCCGTAAAACCAAGTCCTTACATACGTCTTTCGTATTCGCTTGCATCGCCAGACCAAGTGGATCGCGTAAGTTTTTTCTAAAACAAATTTAATTTGGTGACCGAACAAAATAATTATTTTTATAGTACGAATACGCTATAATTTCTATCAAAACCATCGGGGTTCTCAGTCTCCTGCCTCCCCCCCCCCTATTTGAACACTGAATCACATAATCTTTAACTAATTCATAAATCTCTTTCAACATTTAAATAAAGTAAAAATGTTTAAATTAAATTTTAATTAAACATTTTCAGTTTAAACATGTTTATATTGTGTATTATATGCATATTAAATTATAATTTTGCTCATACAAATTTATATCCAACTGAATCTACAATTTTTTTCTCAATTCTAAGGTATATCGCTGTTGGCAGAAGCTATTTGAGAAGAATTTCAATTATTGGAGTAGAGACATTATATTGCTGATATTATCGATATTAAATATAAATACCAATAACGTCCAAATTAATGATAAATTATTATGCTACTTAGATATTTAAATTTAAATATATATATAAATGTGTATAAATATATTTTTTTTTTAAATTTATAATATTGTAGGTACTAGCTACCTATATGCTACTATATTATATTATATTATATATCGTATTTTATTACAGTACAATGTTATACTATATAATTGAGCCAGCTGGAATTTCAATAATAACAATTATAATTGTGTATCGCCGGTATCGGAGGATACAATGGGTTATTTGACCAGTTGCCCTAAGTGGCTGTTTTCGGCATTTAAACAAATTTTCCAGGTGCCTCTAACTAAATGTACCAGTCGCCCTCACCGTAAATAAATTCAGAAATTGGAAAATGGCTTCACTTAACTGTTGATCTTGTACAAGTTGCGAGGAAAAGCTTGATGTATTGATTAGTATTCTTTTTAGAATCCGGCTTTTAAATTACCAATCCCCATAGTCGAGTTGTGTAAAGAAGACGATTTTACGATTTATTCCGGATTCTTATTAGCTGTATTCCCTATCATTGAAAATTCCTGGGCACCTAACTGATCTTACATTACTACCCGCTAGCGAAGTAGACGATTGTTTTGTTGAAGATTATCTAGGTTTATCAAGGTTATTTAGGGAATAACCTAACCGCGTTACGCGACAACATTGGCTCTCACACGGATTAGTACCCTATTTAAACACTGAATCGCATAATCTTTTACCAATTCATCAATCTCTTTCAACATTTAAATAAAATAAAAATGTTTAACACAATAACATTTTGAGTTTGAAAATTGTCTTATTGTATGTTACAATTGTCGCATGCATATTAAATTTTAATTTTGCTTATAAAAATTGTTTTTCTTAATTCTAGGGTATATCGCTGTTGGCAGAAGCTATTCGAGAAGAACGGCAATTACTGGAGTAGGGACAATATACCGGACCGATATTATCGATATTAAACGAATACTCATTAACGTCCATATTAATGATAAATTATTATGCTACTTACCTTAAATAAATTAAAATATATATAAACATGTATATTTTTTGTGTTGAGACTTCAACATTATTTTAGGGTACTGTAGGTGTCTATATGATACTAGTATTTAAACATTTCAACAAATAACTGACCCCCCCCCTCCCAGTTCACCATGCGTGATTAGTATAATACGTATAATATTTGGTACAAAGGTAGTACGGCCTTACATATAATATAAGGACCATGGAGAAAACAATGCACCGCTTCTCAAACAAGTATACCTACATAATAATATTGGATAACAGTTTTATTTTGGAAAATAAATAATACAATTATTACGTGTGATAGTTATAAGTAGTCGTATGAAGTACAACAATATCGATTACAGGAAAATATTCTTTATTTTATTACAATACAATGTTATATTATACTAATATCCTAATTATATAATTGGGCTAACTGCGATCCGAATAATAACAAATGATAAAAATAATCGGGGGATATAATCGTGCATGCTATACTTAAGCTTGTGTTGTGCATTTGCAAATTGTGTGACGTGAATACATGATGACGGGCGTATACGAATGGATGGCTGCGTTCGGTGCGACGGACGAGCACGTTACGATCAAGGAGTTCCAGCTGGCGGCGGCGTTCCAGCTGGCGGCGGCGTTCCCGGATTTGGTGGCGGTGTCGTTGAGTTCGGCGGCGTCGATGAGTTGGACGGCGGTCCTCCGGATGTTCCTCCGCACTGTGGCGTGCCCTGGTCAGTTGGCGAGGCCGATTGAGTCTGGTCTGTCGGTGCTGGTGCCGGTGCTGGTGGGGGTGCTTGAGCAGTAATGAACGTTAAATGCTAAACACGACAACGCCCATTATCAATTATTATAGTCGATATTTTTATAGGACGATACGCTATACATTTCACCGTCAGGATTTTTCTCTCACGGGGTGAGTTGCGCAATGGAATTTGATTAGGAGGGATGCCAACAGTTTTTTATTTTTATCACTTACTACATTTTGTTTTTAAATTCAAATTTTAACGTGTTTAACGAATGTTTTTAAATTAAATATCAATACGCGCCATTACGTCCTCGTATCCTATCGGTTTATTTTCTCCAAAATATTTACCTAATGAAAAAACGTACAGTGGACTAGAATATAAAATAATACGGTCCAAATAAATTATATTTATTTTGACGAATATGCTCTAATAAGTACCTGCAGAAAAATTATTTATACAAATGTACTCGTAATGGTTTGCTACATGCCGAGTAGTAGGGTCCATAAAATATTGATTCATGGGTCAATATAATTATTAAATCAGCATTAATATCCATTGGACAGTTATCAGAGGATACTTAAAATGTAAGAAACAAAAATATACGGTGATATAAAGAGCATAATACATGGAAGTTATCACGAATAAACATCACAGCATATTTAGACGCTAATCTTCTCGACCAGTCGATCGTAATAATAATTAATTTTGCCATTATCTGTCGATCGCGTTGTAAATAATCGGATAATAAAATATTATTTTTGTAATCTTCAGCTTTTATGATACCTCGGAATATTCAAAGTATGCAAACTCAAAAATACTCGAATCTACAAGAAATAGTTCTAATTGCCCATGTAAGTCAACATTTTCGAGTATAAAATACTCGAAGAACAAATATCGGTCAAGAATGGCAAACAGAAATTTGGAATCAAGTTTATAAGCTTATATAAATGTTTCTACACCAGAATTAAACGCCATAATTCTCAAAAATTGCAGAGTATCAGTGTCAATTATCACATAAGATATAAAAAGATGTTTGCAGATTGTCCACATCTAAAATTAACTTTCAAAAGACGTCCCAGGATAATGGAATCGGGTGCAACCACTGTTATAGGTAATTTAATGTATATCTGTAAGCAACGATAAACATTCATCACACTGGTTTAAACTCGGAACCCTTAGGATAATAGGCATAAGTAACCATTAGATCACGACATATATACTTTAAAAAGGACAATACAGAGTTATTTAACATCACGTGTAATATCCGCATAATATCAGAACTTCAAAAAGCTATAATTTCAAAACTTAGTCAGTCCTCTTAATTCTGACTTCACCATCATTCTTAAATAGGCAATATACATATGTTCGGAAAAAAAAACAATTGAAAAATTAGATTTGTTCCACATTATTTTTTTCGTCAAAATTTGATATTAAAATTCCCTTATAAAAAAAATACTACATCTTCTCAATTTTTTTTTTTACGTCAAAGATAAGACTCTTAATGAATCTCCTGTTAAAATTTGAAACATTTCTGTTGGGGTCTAACAATTTTACCACAGAGTATTTACCGAATAAATATTACGTAGAAAACTCTCAAAATTAAAATGTCTATGAATATCTCAAAATGGGCTTAAATTTTTTGAAAATTTTACCACTTCTAGAAAATACAAATATAATTTCTTGTCCAAACTTTAAGTCTATTGAGTCGATACGAATATTGTTAACCAAATTTCAACAAAAATATTAAAATTTTTATGAAAAGCCTAAAAATGACTCAACTGTTTTGAAAACTTTACCTCGTTTAAAAAAGGCAAATATAAGTTTTTTGTCCAAATTTAAAGTCTCTACAAATATTTTCACCTAAATTACAACAAATAACAAAACTGAAAAATAATTAAAGAATTATTTAAGTAAATTTTCCGTTTTTCTTACGTTTTATCTTGGTTCTTCTCGGATATTATGAAAACCGCTTGGGAAATCAAAAAATGACCTACTAAGAGTACCATCTGAACCTTATTTTCTTTCAAAAATGGTGCCGCGCGTATATATCGGAGCAAGATTTCTGATAGAATTTTTATACACAGGATTAAAAAATAAAAATAAACATCTTTGTAAAACAAATTTATTCTTCGCTACATTCAGAATTTAAAATATAATATAATTATATTATGTACAGTGGACAACTTCTCTATACTGAATGTATTTAAAAATACAAATTTGTTCCCAAAATCTAAATAAGCCGACTTAAAATTTTGAATGTTGCTCACTAGTTGGAAAAGATTGGCGACCCCTAACTTAGCCCTTTCAGTTATTATATTTAGTCTTCCGAATAATTCTTGTACCTTGATGTCTGACTTTATTTCGTATGTTTAAGTTTATTCATTTTTTGGGGGTCTGTAAATTCTACTGAGAAATATTTTCTACATTTTCATCTCCCTGCGTTGTATAACGTTTACAATTTACAAATTTTGACGAATTGTACGCATGCAATTTTTCACCAATTAATTAAACGGTAACTAATTCGTATACTTTATTTGTTTCGGGAACCAATTCCGTATAACCCCTTTGATTTGTAAAACAGAACTGTAAGCTAATAATTTGGTGTTACGTAATTTCGATACACGATATTTTGATGCATTTTCTATTTTCTTTTAATTTTATGTCAAATTATTAATTTATTTTATTAGTTTTAAACAACATTTTTGAGATAAGCATATAAATATAAAAAAAATATAAGGAACAATAAATTGGATATGGTCGTTTTAGCAGCATCACTTTTGGATGAAAATATAGAAAAATATGAATTTATATAAATACATATTTTTTCGGTTTGATTTTTATTAAAATATTGACTCTGATTAAATTTTCAGCACCCAAAAAATTAACTTTGTATGAATATGTTTAATAAATATTCATAATAAAACATAACAATCACGAAGAAGCAGGCGAGTCGAAGAGTAAATACAGAAATGAAATATGATTGCCCGACGTAATGGGTCTTCGTCCTAAATTTAAGGATAATTAAGGTCGATCATGTCATATTCTACAACCAGCTTGGAGCAGATGAAGTGCACCCAAAAAATTTAAAAAAAGATAATAGGTTTATTTTAGTGATTTATAATGATTTATAATTTTTGGGATAACGAGTATTAACCATTTTAAATTGGATCAAACTATAATAAATAATTAAACATAATTTATACAAATTAAAAAAAAAAGTTTGTTTTTTCACTTCCAAAAAGTTGCTTCAAAACGTCTCATGTCAACTTGTTCACACCCAAATGTCTATAAGGTACATTATTATTATTGTTTTTTTTTTTCAGAATATAAAAAAAAAGTTTTAGAAAAATTGTTTCAACATAAAAAAAATCATAGGGAAGCAACACTTTCTTTCAGCTACATTTAGTAATGGGTTTATAGTTTCTATTTTTTTCTACAATTTTTTGAAAATAATAAAAAACAATTCTAAATTAATTAATCTTTCTGGGATGAAAATCAAAAGCAATTTTTCAATTTTTTATTTTTATTAAGAATCAATTTTTCTAGTTATTTTTACATTCACTAAAATTTCCTCAAATTTTTTCGGAAAACTTTTATTTTGATTTGTGATCCCTAGAGTGTTACTACACTAGAAACTATGTTTTAAGAAAATTCAATTCAAAGATTTTATGAACTTTATACCTACGAGTAAAAAAAAATTATATTTTATCTACATTATACGATATTTGGTTTATAACGTTTAAAAATAAAATTATACATATAAACTACAAAATTCAATAAAAAATAATTGTCTCAAAAATGACTTTTTTTGAGTACCTAACTATTAAATTCATCATAATGTAATAGTGTAATATTTTGAGATATTAATATACATTATTACATTTATAGTGACCTATTATTTACCATAATGTAACTCACCATATTTTCTCATTTAACATATTTAAATTTGTAGATACGAGAAACTATTACAGTGCATCGTTGTAATAAGAACTAAGTTTTAACCAAAAGGAAAATTGCGTTTTTTGAATTATTACACACTACCATTTTGATAATACGACCAGAAATGATGGAATCGAATAAATCGCGCGTTTTTTGTAAGTAAAATAACAAAAAATAAACGATATTATGTAACAACTTTCTCCACTATTTTCAATAGATATAGGTGGTACCTATATTTAGTATACTTATAGGTACATATTATGACGGTTAAAATACGCACCCATAAATTAAATTAGGTTAGGTATTAAATTTTGGAATTTATATAGGAAATTTATTTTTTTTATACCACATTAATAAATTGTACTAAAATAAAAATGGTTAATTAATTACCATAGATATCATAGGTACGTTTTGACCAACACCTTTTAAATTTGTTTTCATTTCATCCGTGGTACTAAGGTAATCCAAAAAAATAAATAGTAATAATACCGAAAAAAAAAAATTTGGGGGATGCTTTTCAATAGGAGATGAATGTCAATAGCTATGGACCTTCTCCGAGACTCGACCGATCCATTAGTGAAAAACGTACTAAAATCCGTTGAGTATTTTTCGAGATATGCGCGTACGTACAAAAATGAACTTCTAAGAATATAACTTGAGAAATGAGCAATGTAAAGGATTTTCAATAACTGATGACAAATCTTTCCATAAATACGTTTTATTTAAAAAGAAAGAAGGAAATAGACCTGATTGAGCGCCCGAAAGGACTTGTATTAGTTTTTACCATTTTATTTTTTTTAATATATAGATAGTAATTTATAAAATAACGTATGTTCTTACGCAATATCCGATGACCAAAACGACTGCGACGGTGAGTTTAAAATCCATGACGATCAATGCGCGTTATCAGGGACCTAACTAGAAAAATTAAATATAATTTATCGTGTGCGTCCAACGGTATAAAGCGATATCCTTTTTATACGTAGCTCAGAACGATTAATTATCTCCGTAAAATTTACATAATATATTAAATGTTTTGTCACATACAAATTAATTGACTGCAATTTATATTTTAAATAAATACCTACTGTTCCTGATGAATAATTGCCTGTTTTAGCATAAAATGTAATTGTCAATATTTGCATAGTAAATCATATCGTTATTTTATAAAAATATACTCAACCATGCAATTTATCAAGCGTATAATGACTAGTGAATATTTCATGTGGATAAAAGATAATGTATAATAATTATACATAACAAAAGTAAAACACAAAAAATAACAACTTTCACTGCTCGTGGGTAGGCTGCATATTGTAGTTGAGAACTTTGGAAGGTATAGGATATATAATATATATTAGGGTAATAAAGTTTATGCATAGGTACTGAAAGTAACAATAATTCATTGTAATCAAAAAATATTTCTGAGAGGAAATTGTTATACCGGTAAGGTGTTTTATAGTATTAGTTGTAATTAATCCCCTTGTAGCCAATCAGGTAACGCAGCAACCAACAAAAGTAAAACCATTTACCGTCAATTTGGATATTTTGGTCCACTACACTCAGCTACAATTTCCTAAACCAAATGATAACAGAATATTTTTTTTTTTTTAAGATCTTTTTCCTAATCATTTTATTTGAGTTTGAAATCAACACAACAACGTATTACCTCATCGTTTTACCTCATCGATAGTTAAATTCAAATTAATGCATACTTTCATTTTACCATTTACGAGTAACAAGTACAGGTACATAATGTATGACAAGTTAGATTTTTAATGGACTTTTGTTGTTTTGTATCTACACAATAACTTTATTATATAGATAACACTAATATAGATTAGTAACTAACTAAATTTTAGATTCTGAGTGGAGCGAGGAATGTATTGGTTTTACAAAGATGTTTATTTTTTTTTTCATGTGAACACTTTTTCTAATAGAAAGAATACTCCGATTATTCAGTATAGCACCTTTTCTGAAAGGAAATGTTCTCTGGGTGGTACTTTAAAAAGATCATTTATTGAAATTCTCAATAATATTCGAGATAATGAGAAAAACCTGATTATTTAGGTTAAAAGAGATTAAAAGATTAAAAATAAGATTGTCATTAGCAACAGTTTTTATTTAGATATTTTTATTATTATTTTAAAATTGTTTTTAAACAATTATTGTTGTAATCGTTCAACCATAATATAACATATGTATATATTGCTGACAATGCAACATTATCAACTGAACTCCACTCAGAATTGTTTTTTTACGTATTATTTTTTTTCAGACCGTTATATTTGTGAACTAACAACATTAAACATGTACAAAAACGATGTACCTATAGTAGTAGGTGAATATAAAATTGAATTTTTTATTATTCAATCAATTTTTTTTTATTTTTAATGGAAATCGTAATGTTTTGCGCAATTTGCAATGCAAACTATTAAACAAATGTCATTGTTTGTGATAGATAGTAATTATTTTGTGTTAGTAATTTGTTATTTATTTTTTAATTTATACAGGTACTTATATAAAGGTAGTACAAGTTGTTTAAACATGAATTTTATTGCTATAATATGCTAGTTTATGAATACCTATACAGTTGTGGCTTGTATATTATTTTACTAAATTGTCATTTGTGATATTAATTTAATATATTACATTCAATATTTAAAAAGTTGATACCTCATACGGATAGGCCACTGTTGTAGGTTAGTATGCGGCTATAGGTGGTGGTTGAGAAAATAAAATGTACAGAATAATATAGTTTATTACTGTATACAATGATAAACCATTGCAAATGAAAAAACGTTTCTGAGCGGAGTGGTATGAGCAGTGGTGAACCGAAATTATTTTTTTCGATAACCAATGTAAAACCGATAGCCGATTTGGTAATTGAAATCGATAATCATGAGTTAATAAATGAAATTAATCGATATATTTGTTAAAAACCAGATTCTGTTAACGATTTTTTCATATTCCAGAGAAATATTATAGACATTATTTCCCGAAAATATCAGCCCAAAATCGATTTGTAAAAAAACCTGATATGCGATGATATTTTAACAGTGTCAGTATCGGCTGATATAAGAAACGATAAAAAACAAAACAGACATCTTGATAAAATTATTAACACCTTTGCTACACTTAGAATTTAATAAAATTAACGTTATTGCTTGGTAATTTAACTATAAAAGGGGTAGATACCTACTTTCCTGTTTGTCACAACCAAAATAACTTATAATATTCATTATAAATCATAATAACATAATAACTTCTATTCATATAATATCATCTCCAACGTTATATGTACTAGTTGATAACATATTTTCAATATACCTCATATGTCTATTCAAGTATTTATTTTATCGACAACGGCACAACGCTGTATATGCTAACTTTTGTACAAACATTATTCTAATAATTTCATTATTTTAAAATTGCGTCATCGCTGTACAAAGTATTTCAATATTCAGTTGTGACAACCATATCTTTTAGAGCATTTCTATACATAATAAACATAGTAACCCACGATGACTTAACACTTGAAATAACTTTTGTTCTATTCAATAGTTTTAATATATATTTTTCCAAATAATTAGTTTCTGCGCTACAGTTAATATATTTTTAAAAAACATTTTAGGTGGTTTATAATCTACTCGTATTATAACATTTAATTAATTCTATATTTATTTATATTTTTGATATATTGTATTTGCATTCTTAACGGTTATACGAAAATAAATAAATAATAACATTTAGATAATCAGTAGTCATCAGTAACATTGAATGTAAGTTGAATGTTGTATCCTTGTCATTTGATGGGCTTCGACAATTGATTAAATAATTATTATAAATAGATTATAGACGACAATAATATTCACATTTGTCAAAACTTCAGAAAATTTTATAAAATGAAAAACTCTACTTAAATAAGTTTCAAACAATGAACATTTCCTAAAGAATCTGTTTTATAAAATGGCAATTTTTAATTTTTTTTAAAAAATTATAGTAAAATTATAAATTGTTTATTTTAAGTTAACCCGCCTGTAAAAAAAATAAGCACGAAGGTATACTAATTATTTAAAAAAATATATTAAAATTAGAACAAAATTTATTTTAAGTGTCAGATTATCGTGAGACACTTGTATATTCGAGCAATTTTTTTTTCGTTCAATTATTTATGAAAATATCAGTTTAATTAAATCTTAGTTTAGTACCTACTAAATTAAAGTAGTAATTAAAAAATAGGTGAATTTATAACTACATAAAACTTATGTATTTTTATAAATAAATAAAAATACATTTTTTTAAAACCATATTAATTGATTTTTTTTTTGTTTTTTTTTAAAAAAAAAAAATTAAAAGTCTAAAATAAAAAAAATTAAGTTCTAATAACTAAAATTATACACAGCGTATAATTCATATCTGCAAAACTGACATTTGTGTACCTAAGTAATAAAGTAACTAATATATTTTAAAAAATCCAAAAGAAGTGTATTTAATATTAAATATTAATATAAACACTCGTAAATAAAACTGCTCACAAAGACTATATTATATGATCATTAGAGAACGGATTTATATGTACTTAAAATCCATAAAAGTGCTTAAAAACGTCAAAAAGTCCTAAAAAAATCACTTAAAAAAATTTAAAGAACAATAAATATAGAAGTGTTTAAAAATCCTCCGAAGTAGAACCATTAAAGGTAAGACTAAAATTACACTACCACTTTTACTTTTTTAAATATTTTGAAGTTCTTTTTTAACAATTTAAGCGTTTTTATGCTGTTTTTAAGCATAGCAACAATTTTTGCGATCGCATATTCACTTAGTATCGCCATTACCTAATTTGTGGTGTCACAATTCCTATTTATAAGCCGTGAATATCACTTGTACGAAAAATGATAAAAGACGTTTTCGGAAACCTGTCCCGATCGCATATTAACAAACTGCACACAAAATAAAATACTACATAGCAAATCGGGATTTATTTTCGATTAGTATGGTAAAAAATGATAGTATTACTCCCCACAAAAATTCAAGGGGATGCAAGTGCATCTCTTGCACCCCCCCCCCTTCTCCGAGATTACGTCCATGCTCGATACTCAAGTTTTGGAGCGAACAACAAATGAACAGCTGAAACGATTGTATAAGAAAGGATATATAGTTCGTGATCATTAACTATCCACCACCACCATCAACTTTCATTGATTACTTATTCACACTGAAGTATGAGGCTGTCGAAAGGCTTTGGCATTTATTTCACTTTTTGATACTGTTTTAGAGTTTTTGGATGCTAAAGGTCATATTTTAAAAAAAAAATTGACCCAAAAGAAACAAGACATTGCTTATTTAACATATTTGTTTACTAAATTTAATGAAGTTAACTTGTAGTTACTAGGTGTTAATCTAAATTTAATAAAAACAAAGTCAATTATTGCTGCTTTTCTTGTCAGAATTAACTTCATAATGCAAACATTGGACGACTCTAAATTTCTCAGTTTCCTAATTTGTCACATACAAACAGCCAGGAAGATGACATTTTGGCTTACGTTCAATGTAATGTCCTTCATACGGACTTTAAAATTAGATTTATGGATATTTTGATAATGGTGTATTATCGATCCATACGGTCACATTGAAGAATCGGATGTCGTGTTACAAGACAAAATGATCGGAATAACGAAGAACTTAAGGCACAATTTAGAAATGGAGATATCAGCAGTTCTAGCTTCAGAAGACATACGTGTTACTTATCTTACATTATGGAATATCGCAATAACTCTTTGAGGTTGATTATTAAAATTATTCTTAATAAATCAACATTATGTTCACTAATTAAATTTATTCTGAGTGTAAAATTCGAACTATTATTCTAACTTATGAATAATACATTTTATTATACATGTTTACAATTAAAATAAGTCAATTTCAACCTTCACGTTGTTATAATACAAAAGTAAAATAGGATAGTAATTTATTTACGGTTATGATTTACTG